GATTCTTCTGAGTCTGCTGAGCTGTGGAATTCAGTTCTGTTCAGAATATTGTCTTTACACTTACTGTTAAAACTGTTCCCCTAGAACACCTCAGAGTGTGAAAAATACGCCTGCTGCCCCCTGCCCCCTTACCTGGAGGATTCCGGGTGTGTCGTTGAAGAAGATGACAATGCAGGAAGGCCCCTGAGAGATGTCTGCTTCCATTTGTTAAAGCTCTACAGCGACAGGTAAGGGGGTAAAGAGTTCAAAGTGTCTTTAGAAACACCATGGTCAGCCAGTGACTTCCTGAGTTCCCAAAGCAGGGGTGTGAAGTCAGCCGGAAGCACTTGGAGCAGTCCAAAATGAGCCCCCATGTACCACCCCTGACAGAAGGTGGTGACACTGTCACGCCTGGTGATGGTAGAGATGGGGAACCCTCAGCTTTGGGGCACATCTGTGGGGGTTTAGGTGCTTTGTCTGTCTGAGGAGTGTAGTGAGGCTTCTCCATAGCTGGCTCTTTGGCAGTGAGAAATTTTCAGGGAGCACATATAGAGGAAAAGGGATGACAGTCTGGCTGCAGGCTCAAAAGAATGTAAACAGTTTCTCCTATTATTTTTCTTTTTAAAAAAGAAAACCAAAGCCCAATTTCTGATTTGATTTTGTGGGCACAGTGAACTCTTTGTTACCAGTGTCTTCCCCTCCAGGTGCTATGACCTTGACCAGCTGCTGGATCCCAGGAGTGTCACGTCTGACCCGCTGGATTTCCGCCTCAGCTGGCACCTGTGGGAGGTGCTGCGGGCCCTGAACTACTCCCACCTGTCCCAGCAGAGCCGGGGGGTGCTGAACACCAGCTTTGCTGCCCAGCTGGAGAGCGAGGGGCTGTGGGAGTGGGCCGTGTTTGTGATGCTGCACGAGCCTGATGCGCAGTGAGTGACCCTTCTGACTCCTACTGGCCTGGAAATAACTGCAGTCTTGTCTTAGAGACCTGGGGTTATTGTGGCTTCTCCCACATCAAACTGTGCCCCTGGAGAACGTCATGACACTTGTGAAAATCAGAGAATCACAGAATCCCAGAACGGGTTGGCTTGGGAGGGACCTTAAAGCTCATCTCATTCCACACAGGGACACCTTCCACCAGCCCAAGTTGTTCCAAGCCCTGTCCAACCTGGCCTTGGACACTTCCAGGGATCCAGGGGCAGCCACAGCTTCTCTGGGCAACCTGTGCCAGGGCCTGCCCACCCTCACAGGGAAGGATTTCTTCCCAATCTCCCTTCTAACCCTGTGGTGAAAATGGCAGTGGGAAGCCATTTTCCTTTCATAATGCAGCAGCATTAAGAAGTGATGTTTCCCTGGTGGAAGATGTCTCTGTCCATGGCACAGGGTGGAACTGGATGAGCTTTAATGTCCTTCCCAACCCAAATTAATACATTACAATACTGTTTTGCATCAAGTGATAACTTCAAATCGAGCCTGAATATTTACTTTCAGAGGCCTGGACCAGACTTAAAAGTTCTTAAGTTGGCAACGAAACACCAATGATGATTTCTAAGTGGTTAACCTGTACTGAAGGAATTTGACTGACCTTTGACCTTTTCTTAATATCACGTTGTACCCCTGCTCTGTAGAGTCCCAGCCTGGTTGGGTTGGCAGGGACCTTGCAGACCATGCTGTTCCAGCTCCTGGTGTTGAGGTGACCTTAGGGAGGAGTGCCTGCTGAGTGTCTGTCTGTCCGCAGGTGCCGGGAGAAGGCCGTGCGGGAGCTGCTGAGCCGGCACTGCGCCCTCGCCGACAGCCCCGAGTCCTGGGCCAAGGAGACCTTTCTGACACAGAGGCTCTGCGTCCCCCCACACTGGATCCACGAGGCCAAGGCCGTTCGGGCCAGGATGGAGGGGGACAAGCACAAGGAAGCCCTTTTCCTGTTCAAGGCTGGGCACTGGAACCAGTGCCACAAGCTGGTTGTCAGGCACTTGGCCTCAGGTGGGTCTGTGCCCCTAGGGCAGAAGGGAACAGGGGCAGTGGTCTCAGTCCTGTGGCTATCCCTGCTGCGGGAGATGGAGTGGCCTCTGTTCTGACCCCTTTTCTCTTTAGATGCAATTATCAACGAGAACTACAAGTACCTGAAGGGGTTCCTGGAAGACCTGTCCCCTCCAGAGCGCAGCACCCTCATCCAGGACTGGGAGCTGGCAGGGCTGGTCTACCTCGACTACATCCGTGTCAATGAGATGCTGGACAGGATTCAGCAGGTGATGGGCTGAAACCAGAGCGTATTTCCCTACAGTGTGGGAGCTCACACAAAGTCTGGCTCTAAGGATAAGCTGTTCCTCTGTTCAGGGGCAGGTGGTGCTTCCATTTGGCAGACACTTCAAACAGAACATGGGGCATCTCTGAAAATGGGGGTTTGGTATCTGCTGTCACAGCCAGGGCTGGGCTCTGCCCTGCAAACATGCTCTGTGGGTGCGTGACAGTGAGAAGGGAAAGGGAAGGGACAAAGCCAGCACTCAGCATGTCCGTCCCCTCCAACTCCAGTCCCGGCCTCGCCTTTCCCCATTCTGGTTTTCAGTTCAGGCAGGTTTTGGTGGACAGTGTTCCCTGGTGGGTTATTTGGCTCTGAGGGCCCAAGGGCTCTGGTTCTGCTGCCTCAGCTCACTGTCCTGTTTGCTTCCAGCTGGATTGTTCCACCTACGAGCTGGAGCGGTTACACACCAAAGTGACGTCCCTGTGCAACAGGATAGAGCAGCTGCAGTGCCACAACGCCAAGGACCGCCTGGCTCAGTCGGGTAGGTGACATCCCTGTCCCTGGCACAGCCAGTGCCACAGCCTGGCTGCCACCTGGCCTGCAGGTGTATCCCAAAATAATTGAGGTTGGAAAACCCTCTGAGATCCCTGAGTCCAGTTGCTCCCCCAGCACTGCCAAGGCTGCCACTAACCCTGTCCCCAAGTGCCACATCCCTGCAGCTGTTAAATCCCTGCAGGGATATGATTCCACCACTGCCCTGGGCAGCTGTGCCAGGGCTGGACAGCCCTTTGGTGGAGGAATTTTCCCAATATCCAACCTGCGCCTCCCCTGGCACAGCTGGAGGCCGTTCCCTCTCCTCCTGTCCCTGTTCCCTGGGAGCAGAGCCCGACCCCCCCCGGCTCCCCCCTCCTGTCAGGGAGTTGCAGAGCCAGAAGGTCCCCCCTGAGCCTCCTTTTCTCCAGGCTGAGCCCCCCCAGCCCTTTGAGGGAAGGAATTTTCCCCTCTATCCAGCCCAAGGCTCCCTGGCAGAGCCTGAGGCCGTTTCCCCTGGCCCTGTGCTGCGGGGGCAGCCCTGTTGGCTCCGGCCCCGCAGCAGCCCCTCTCCCCTCTCCGTGTTGCAGACATGGCGAAGCGCGTGGCCAACGTGCTGCGGGCGGTGCTGAGCCTGCAGCAGGGCCCGGGCCCGGCCGAGCCGCGCGTGCCCCCCCTGCGCCTGCTGGCCCCGCACATCGGCCGCCTGCCCATGCCCGAGGACTACGCCCTGGAGGAGCTGCGCGGGCTCACCCAGGCCTACCTGCGGGAGCTGGCCGTGGGCACGCCCTGAGCCCCGGCACGGCAGGAACGGGAGAGGACTGACCCGGGACAGGCCGGGACAAGCGGCTCGTGTTGTCCCGCTCGCATTCCCGCCCCAGCAGGCCCGGCCCCGGCGCCGCCCCGGGGCCACAGGAGGTCTTCAATGCATGAGGAGTATCGAAAGGTTTTTATTAAAAAGTATAAATAAATGCTCTAGATTATTTTCTTGTCTTTTTGAAAACAATAAATAAAATGTTTATAGTATTCCCACGGGTTCCTTTGCTTTTTAAGGGAGGGCTTGGGGTTCATAGGTGTGTATCCCTTGGTGGGATTTCTGTTGATCCCACGTGCCTTTAGTGGGGATCAGGGGAGGCTCCTTCAGAGCCCTGGGAGGAAAAGTCACCCCTGCCTCGAGGAGTGTGGGGGCCTGAATAAACTACATTGTGGCTTTTTGGTACTGAAAGGGGCTTGTGAAAAAGCTGGAGAGGGACTTTGCACAAAGGGGAATGGCTTCCTACTACCAGAGGGCAGGGTGAGATGGGAGAGTAGGAAGGAATCCTTCCCTGGGGGAGTGGGGAGGCTCTTGCCCAGGTTGCCCAGAGGAGCTGTGGCTGCCCCATCCCTGGAAGCATCCAAAGCCAGGCTTGATGATGCCTGGAGGCACCTGCTCTGTGGAAGGTGTCCCTGCCCATGGCACGGTGGCACGTTCAGGTGACACTGTCCGTGTGCAGGAGCTGGGTCCCTCTGGCCTCACCTCCTTCCATTACTGTAATTGGGTCTGTGCGGCCCCGGCACGGGCTGGGCATGAATAATTCACTGCCTGGAAACAAAACCTCCGGCCTCAAAACCGCTCGGCACCTGCTGCCGGGCCCGGCGTGGGAAACGTGCCAGGAGGCGCCGGGGAGGCGGCGGATTCCCCAGGGCTGGAGGGGGAACGATGCTCCGGATTCCCCAGGGCTGGAGGGGGAACGATGCTCCGGATTCCCCAGGGCTGGAGCGGGGAGATGTTCCTGGGACAGGGACCGCTGCCACTCCTGCTTTGTCTCCTGGGCCATGTCCCTTAACCTCCTGGGCTTTTCTTCTCACCAAAAGGGAATAATCTGCCTCTTCCCTTTCCTTGCTCTTTTCAAAGACTGCAGAACGGGATGTCCTTCGTGCATGGGGGTCCCTCTACCCCAGGGGCTGCAGCATCCACCCTCGGCTCTTCCCACTGCCCCCATGGTTCCAGGTGCCTCTGGAAGAGGCATTCCCTCCCGAGGCTCGAGCAGGTGCAGCCGACAGGTATCGTGTGCCCCGGCACCCAAACCCAGCCCAAAGGGGTTCAGCTGCACCCGGACCCCATCCCGGCCCCCGCCCCCTCCCAGCCGGGGACCCCCGGGGGTCTCTCCGTACCCCTCGCTGTGGGTCCCTGTGGGGGCCGCGGCCCCCCCGCGCTGTCCCAGCCCTGACGTCAGCCCGGCCCCCCCCCGTGTCCCCGGGACTGTTCGGCGGGATGGAGCTCGGAGCGCTCGGGCTGCTCTGCCTCTGCCTCTGCCTGGCCGGCGTCCTCCTGGCCCCGGGTGAGCAGCGAGCGGTGCGGACCCCGCTCCGGCTGCGGGGCGAGCATCCCTCGGCTGCTGCGAGCAGCGTCCCGCACACGGGGCATCCCGGGGGTGTGGGGGGCTCAGGCTGGCGGCGAGGAGGGACGGGAGTCCCGGCGTGCTCCCCCACCCTACCCAGCTGTCCCTGGGGATCCTCGGGAGGGCTCCGACTGCGCCCCGGTCTCTCCAGCGCCGCTCTGGGTCTCCCCAGGCTGCCGGGGGGCGCAGGGCAGGTTCGCCTACAAGCTGCTCCACGACCTCTTCGCCAACTACTCGAGCGCCCTGCGCCCCGTGGAGGACACGGACCGGGCGCTCAACGTCACCCTGCAAGTCACCCTCTCCCAGATCATCGACATGGTGAGTGCCCGGGCACAGCACCGGCCCCGGGCTCGGCTCTGCCCCGGTGGATCCTGCTCCACCCCGCGCTCATGCTCAGCCCTTAAAACCAGCCCAGACCCCGCCCAAACCAGCCCAGCTGCCCCCGAGCCAGCTCAGACCACTTGAAGATAGCTCAGACCGCCCAAAAACTGCACAACCTTCCCCCCTCAATGAGCTCGGCCTCCGTGAAGCCTCAGAGCTCAGCTCAGACCTTTCCAGCCTCCTCGAACCTGCAGGACCCCCTTGAAGCCACCTCAGCCCCTCGGGACACTTGGAGAGGCCCCTGGGCTGGGGGCTGAGGGGGGCGGGGGTGGCACCGGGGGCCATCAGCCCGTGCCAACTCTCTGCCCTCGGCAGGACGAGAGGAACCAGGTCCTCACCTCATACCTGTGGGTGCGCCAGGCCTGGCTGGACGCCCACCTGACCTGGGACAAGAATGACTACGGCGGCATCGACAGCATCCGCATCCCCAGCAGCTACGTCTGGCGGCCAGACATCATCCTCTACAACAAGTGGGTCGTGCTCAGCCCCCGCCGCTGCTCCCAGGGCTGGGGGGCTCAGGCTGAGGCTGGGGGGCTCAGGCTGGGGCTGGGGGGCTGCACGGGTATCGCCAACCTTGGGGCTTTGTGGCTGCGCGTGGGGTGGGAGCGGGAGGGTCCCGGTGTGGGTGATGCAGGAGATGGTCACACCAGCTGGGTGACACGGGGCTGGGGGCTGGCAGCAGCCTGGTGTGCCTGGGACTGACCCCTCGCCACCAGGGGGGCCGCCAGGGGCTTCAAGTGACACGGGGAGGGGACACGGCTTGGCCCGGGGGCCACCTTGGCCCTACGGCCGTCCCTCCCCCCCTCCTCCCCCAGCGCCGATGAGCACTTCGGGGGCTCCATGGAGACCAACGTGGTGCTGCGCTCGGACGGGCACATCATGTGGGACTCGCCCGCCATCACCAAGAGCTCCTGCAAGGTGGACGTGTCCTACTTCCCCTTCGACGGGCAGCGCTGCCGCCTCACCTTCGGCTCCTGGACCTACAACGGCAACCAGATAGACCTCCGCAACCGGCTGGACAGCGGGGACCTGACGGACTTCGTGGAGAACGTGGAGTGGGAGGTGCTGGGCATGCCGGCCACGCGGAACGTCATCACCTACGGCTGCTGCTCCGAGCCCTACCCCGACATCACCTACACGCTGCTCCTGCGCCGCCGCGCCTCCTTCTACATCTTCAACCTGCTCCTGCCCTGCATCCTGGTCTCCTTCCTGGCGCCCCTCGGCTTCTACCTGCCCGCCGACTCGGGGGAGAAGGTGTCGTTGGGGGTGACGGTGCTGCTGGCCCTCACCGTGTTCCAGCTGCTGGTGGCGGAGAGCATGCCGCCCTCGGAGAGCGTCCCGCTCATCGGTGAGCCCGGCGGCACCGGGAGCGTCCCGTGGGACTGGGGCTGCCAGGGGGAAGGGCTGTGGTGGGGGTGAGGACCCCTGCCAGGGGGAAGGGCTGTGGGGTGGGGTGTGGGTGAGGACCCCCTGCCAGGGGGAAGGGCTGTGGTGGGGGTGAGGATCCCCTGCCAGGGGGAAGGGCTGTGGTGTGGGGTGTGGGTGAGGACCCCCTGCCAGGGGGAAGGGCTGTGGTGTGGGGGGGTGAGGACCCCCCCAGTGCAGTGCCAGCACCCACTGCCCTCCCAGGGAAGTACTACATCGCCACCATGACCATGATCACAGCCTCCACTGCACTGACCATCTTCATCATGAACGTCCACCACTGCGGGCCGGGGGCCCGGCCCGTGCCCCCCTGGGCACGGCAGCTCATCCTCCACCACATGGCCCGGCTCTGCTGCGTCTACGAGGTGGGCGAGAGCTGCAAGAGTGCCCAGCGGATGCTGGGCAGGCAGGGGAGCAGGGGGGATGCTGGGGGGCCGTGGGAGAGCCCCGGGGAGGGGGAGGTGGGCTCCGAGGCCGGGGTCTGCCCCTGGGACCACTGCCTGTGCCACCACGACGCCCTGCTGAGGAACGTCGGCTACATCGCCGGCTGCTTCCGGCGCCACCGCGCCAACCAGCGCCGCACCGGGGAGTGGAAGAAGGTGGCCAAGGTGATGGACCGCTTCTTCATGTGGATCTTCTTCCTCATGGTTTTCCTCATGAGTGTGCTGGTCCTGGGCAATGCTGCCTGACGGCCCTGGGGACCCACCACCCCCAGGCACCCCCTGCCCACCACCCACCCGGGGGCGGCGCTGGCTGTGGGTGCCCCATGAGGGCAGCGCATCCCAAAGTGCCCCCAGACCCGCACAGAGCCACGGGCTGGGAGCTGCTCCATCGCTGGGAGAGAGGAGCCCACAGCGGGACCCCCGGCCGGCTGCAGGGCTGAGGGGTCCCAGCCGGCTCTGCCAGGGTGGGCACCCACGTCCCCATCACATTCCACCATCAGATGGAAATAAACTGTGCAATGCGTGTCCTGCCTCTCCTGCCAGGGGCAAGGGCACCGGCTCCCTCCAGCTACTGGCCAGGATGAGGGTGGCCCTGGGAGGGATGGAGGGATCAGGCCCCTCAGCCTCCACTGGCTGACACGTGTGGGAAGGGATGTGGGGATCCCTGTCAGGAGGGATGTGGGGATCCCTGTGAGAGGGATGTGGGGATCCCTGTGAGGGGGATGTGGGGATCCCTGTGAGGAGGAATGTGGGGATCCCTGTGAGGGGGATGTGGGGATCCCTGTGAGGGGGAATGTGGGGTTCCCTGAGAGAGGGATGTGGGGCACAGCAGGAGCTCTGGAGCTGCTGCCCACCCCAGCCAGGGCAGGTTTGTCCCAGGGTCCATCGGTGCCTGCACAGCCCAGCCTGTGGCAGCCACTGTCTCGTGGAAACCTGGCCCCTCCAGGCCCCCTGCTCTGCCGCACCCAGGTGTGGGACCCCTGCCAGGGCAGTGACAGGGCTTCTGCAGCACCATGAGAAGCGTCCCCCTGCACCCCACACTTGCACCTCAACCCTGCACCCCAAAACCTGCACCCCACACCTGCACCTCAACCCTGCACCCCAAAACCTGCATCCCACACGTGCATCCTCCTCTCCACCATGTCCAGCCCCACCTTGCCCTGCTCTCTGGGGCCCCTTACCACTCTCCCACATCCAAGGCCCCTCCCAGCTGAGCCCCCCTGGCTCCCCTTTCCACTGTCCCTCCTGCTCCAGACCCTGCCACAGCCTCGAGGGGAGGCAGGTCCCTCAAGGGGGTCACCACTGGGACAGGTCCCAGCACACAGTGCAGCACAGGGTGGGATCTGCTCTGTCTGGGGACTTGGCCCCTCTGCCAAGCCTGGGGACAGGACCAAGGGCAAGGATGTCCTCTCAGTTGAGGGTCCCCTCACTTGACCTGCTGCCAGTGCTCCTACTTACACAGCCCAGGTCCCCCTTGGCCACAGGGGCTCAGCTTGGTGCCCACCAGGACCTTCCCTGCCGAGCTGTTCCCAGCCTGAGCCAGGCTGGACCTGCTCCTCCCCAGGGACAGCACTTTGTACCCGGGCTTAAGGAGGTTCCCAGTGGTCCACCCAGCTCCCCCAACACCCACTGGGTACCAGAAGCCCCCCTCCCCAGCTTGGTGGGTGCCAGCCGTGCAGGGTGCCAGCCTGTCCCTGCTGGGGTCAGGCACTGGGGCTGTTCCACCCCCGGTCACAGGATGGAGGGAGGAATCCCACCCCCAGGGCCAGGGAAAACGTACTTTGGAACCTTTGGGAGGGGGCTGCAGCCCAGCAAATCCACCCTTGGCAGCTCTGCTCCAGGTCAGCAGGGGGACACTCTGGACCCCAGCAGTCATGGCTGGACCTGCCCCTTGGCCTGGCTGCCCCCACAGGTCCTCACTGTCCCTCGCCCCTGGAACAGCTCCAGGGAACTGCTGCCGTGTCACCCCATGGGGTTTGTGGTCACCATGCCCCAGGGGATGAACCAGGCCATGGCCACGGAGCTGCTGCCTTGGAGCTGCTGCTTCATCCCACGTCCTCATCTTTGTCCTCTTCCATCCCCTTGCCCATGCCTGCCCTTGGCAGCTCTACTCCAAGGTGTCCCACCCCCACACCAGCAGCACCCTGGCACCATCCCCAGCCATGGAGCCCTGGGCCAGCTCACAGAAACCCCCTATCCCTGCCCACAGCCTTCCCTGTCCCAGCCAAGGGGCAAGTGATGCTCCAGGGAGCTCCCAGCCCTTCCCATGGCCCCCTGCCCAGCTCCCCTCACAGCCCAGCCCAGGCTCTGCCCCTCTGTCCCCACACCACAGGCAGTGAGGCTCCCAGGCAGTGTTCGGGGCCAGCAGGGGAATCCTTCTCTTCCCAGGGGCTGTGGGTTTGATTTGTGCTGCAGTGTTGATGTCCTGGGATGGTTCAGTCCACACTGGGCACCACGAGTGGGGTGGGGGAGCACGAGGGGCTGGGGGAACAAATTCTGGGGGTGCTGGGGGGATGTGATGGGGGGAGCCCATCTGGGGCACAGCGAGCATGGAAGGATGAGCTTTGGATTCCCAGGGAAGGAAGGAGGGAGAGGAAGCAGAACTGGAGAGTGATGACCTTTGGGAGAAGGGGCAGCAAGTCAGGAGGCCAACGAGGATTTTGGGAGGTCATGGAGGGGGAAGATGAGAAGGGCCAAAGCCCAACAAGAACTTAATGTGGCTAAGGAGGTAAAAGCAAATCAAAATGATTTTTACAAATAATACTTTAGTTTTGGGGGTTTTTTGTTTTGTTTTGGTTTTTTTTTTTTTTTATTGCTGCGTGGAATGTAGAGCCAAAGAGTGAGGAAAAGCCTGAGGTGCCAGTGGATGAGTCCCAGCCAGGGGCAGTTGTGAGGGTCAGGTCCTGCCTGTGGCTTGGACAAGCCCTGGTGGCTCAGGATTGAAACCTCTTGCTCTTCTGGGCCCAGCACTGCCACCAGCACCAGGGCATCAGAGGAAGCGGACGCGGGAGGGATGGGTGTGACGGTGGCACTGGCAGGGAGGGACGTGGTGGGGGCACTGGCAGGAAGGGATGTGGCAGCTCCACCAGGGTCCCAGGAATCCCCTCAGCTGGGCATGGAGTTTCCCCAGGAGCCCTCGTGGTGCCCAGCCGTGGGCCCTGCGTGGGGGCACCCGCTGCCGGGGGGGTGGCCTGGCTGGGCCCCACCACGGGTCAGGCGTGGGGATGCTGCGTGCCAGCTCCAGGAGGCTGCTGCTGCTGCTGCTGCTGCTGCTGCTGTCGGCCCCAACGGGGTTTGTGATCACCACTTCCCTGGGGATGAACCAGGCCATGGCCGTGGATCTGCTGCTTCCCGGCTCCGTGGGGCTGCTGCTGTGCCGTCCCGTGTCCTCATCGTCCTCTTCCCCTCCACTGTCCATGTCTGGCCTCTGCACTCTGCGGCGCTGGGGAGAATTCCTGCCCCCCAGCAGTCCTGGCTGCACCGGCACCTCAGTCCGGACCACCGGGAAGGCCACCTGTTCCCATGGCCACTGGGCCAGCAGTGCCTCCAGCTCCCTGTGCTGCTCCTCAAAGAGCGCCCGGGCGTCCTGGGGGCTGCGGATGAACCGTGGGAAATGCGTCCTGTAGCTCATGGAACTTGGTCGGGAGCTGCCATGGGAAGCTGCAGCTGCCCAGCAGCTGCACCAGCCTGATCCTGCGGGGCCCTGCAGGTGTCACCAGCAGGTGACTCTTCCCCCTGTCATATGGCAGCCAGATGTCACAGAGGGGGCCCTGCCTGCCCCGTGATGTCACAGAGGGGGCTCTGACTGGTGACCTGGAGCGCCAGGGATGGTGCCATGAGGTACCTCAACATCTTCACCGCAGGGGAGCTGGTTGCAGTCACGATCCTGGTGCTGCAGCTCATCCTGGTCGCTGCTGTGCTGCGGGACAAGCGTCTATGGGTAGGTGCCTCTGCACCGCTCTGTAGGCTGGGGTGGGGTGGGATGGCGTGTGGAGCGTTGTGGAGGGTGTGCGGTGGGCCCAGGAGATGCTGCTGTCTCACCCATCTGTGGTTCCTGCAGAGGATCCGGCAGAACTGGAAGCAGCCAAGGGCAGCAAGAGCCCGGCTGGAGGAGCAGAGCAGCTTGGACAGGTTGCAGAAATCAGCAGAGATGTCCCCTGGCAGCTCCCGACGAAGCTCCATGAGCTACAGGAAGCATTTCCCAAAGTTCATCCGAAGCTCCCAGGACACTCGGGCGCTGTTCGAGGAGCAGTGCAGGGAGCTGGAGGCACAGCTGGCCCAGTGGCAGTGGGAACAGGGGGCCTTCCCGGTGGTCCAGACCGAGGTGCCGGCAGAGCCGGGACTGCTGAGGGTCAAAAAGTCTCGCCGGCTCCTGGGAGTGAAGCTGCCGAGGCGGGACACGGGCAAGGGGACGGAAGAGGCCAGATGTGAGGACACGGGACAGCGCAGCAGCAGCTCCCTCCCCAGAGAAGGGGAGGCCTTTAGCCCCATGGGGTCCCACAGGAGCAGCAGCTCGGTGGGGCTGGGACGCAGCACCATCCCCGCTGCTCCGGGCAGGACCCGCCCGGCACAGCCCAGCCCGCGGCAGTGGGGGCTCGGGGTCAGGGAGCGTGGCAAGGGGGCAGGGTGTGGCCTCTTCGGGCGCTGCAGCTCCCTGGGGCGCTCCCTCATTCACCTCTGGACACGGCACATCCAGCGCCGGCGCCGGCGCCGCGTCCGCTTCGCCACCCCCCTGGTGACAGTGCAGTACATCGAGTAGCGCTGGGGACATTCCCCTCCGAGAGCTTTAGTGATAAAGGACTGAAACCCAGGAGTTCCTCCCTTTTATCCTTTCAATCCAATTCAGTCCAGCCCAGTCCCAGAGATTTGCCAATACCGAGCCATCTACTAATCAACAAACAACCTACTTTGCTTTTGGGGACGCTGATCCCCGGCTTGTTTTGCCAATCCAAAAGCGCCGCAGGAGCAAGAGCAGCTCGGGACTCGCAGATGCCTCTCTGTGCCCCCTCAGGCAGCAGAGCCGGCCCTGCTGGGCTGTGCAGAGACACGAGGTGGAAGGGTAGAGGACAAGGAGCTGCCAAATGTCCATCCACAGCTGGGTTTTGTTTATCTGCCTCAGGGTGAGGGCAAGGGGAGCTCGTACCTGCCTGCAAAGAGCCGCGTGGGGCATCCCGGGCTTTGAAAAGCCAGATAAGAACCCGAGCCGCAAATTAGGGAACCGGCATTATCAGAGGGGTTTCCAGCGCTACCACAAGCTGTGTTTTGCCAACCC